AACATTTAACTTAAACAACATCAACATGTTCAAACAAATACATAAGCATTTCTAGAATATTACAACCAGCAACACAATATCTTTTTGTTGAAGCATCAACATAAGAACACACGCATCGTTGTGAATAAGTCTCCAAGAAGGAGTGAGTCCATTTAAGCCGGGCACAGTAACTAGCCTCTCAATTTTCCAGATCTTTTCACCTTATGCAAATCCTTCCCCTAACCATCCCTCCAAGTACCTATGCAGATGCTCAAATGTCTACGTGTTCAACTTAATCTTCATCGGAGGCTTTACAGAAGAGAAAATCAGTTCAGCATCTCTTTTCATATATGGAAATGTTGGAAACTCTCCACATGTTGAAGACATTTTTAAGATAGAACTAAAGAAAAATATTTTGAGTGTAGTTAAGATCATTCAACATCAATGGTATTTATAGTTCACAACAAAAATTTTAAAATAATAAAATAACGAAAGTCTTTGCCCATTACAGTGGCGGAGCCGTACTTAAATAAAATAATAATAAAAGCATGTGTCCATTGCAACGGCAGAACCGTACTTAAATAATAAAATAATAAAAGTCTTTGTACGAAACTGTACTTAAATAATAAAATAACAAAAGTCTCCACTCATTCCAATAGCAGAATCATACTTAAATAATAAAATAATGAAAACCTACACCCATTGTAGTGGCGGAACCGTACTTAAATAATAAAATAACGAAAGACTTCGTTCATTGCAGTGGCGGAGCCGTATTTAATGATTTATGTTTATTTTTTATTTTAATTTAAACAAATTTTATTTATTTTAATATTTTATTTATTACTATGATTAACATTTATTCTAATTTAAACTTATTTTTAAATATTAATTTTAATATTAATTTTTATTTTAATTATAATTTTTATTTATTTTTAATATTATATTAAAAAAAACGACATGTTAACAGCTTCGTCAGTCCAATGAACGGAAGCTATATAATTACGGAAGCTATATAATTTAAAGAGCGTCCCCCAATCTAATGGACGGAGCTTTCTACTTCAATTTTTTTTTGTTCGAAAACATAATATATTGGAAATATAAGTTGAAATGTATGATAGTATAAAAATTTATTGCTAAAAAAGTGATATATTGAGGACATCATGTTTAGGGATGAAACCACTAAAGCTCGACTTCCTGAATTCTTCAAAACACTCACATTAATATTGAGGACTATGTGTATCATCATCACTAAAGCCGGAGGAGAGACAACACTTGACATGTTTCACGACTTGGTTTGGCTCGCTGTTTCTTTATAAGACTTGAAGATGCTGCCGCAGCTGAAAAATAATTTAAAACTGGCAACTCCATAATGTAATTGTCATCTGATGCAACAGCAGTCGTGAACTGCATAAATTCTGATTAAGTTGCTGATGCCGTTGAGATGATAGGTCAAGACTCTGCAGGAACTTGCTATAAATCAGCATGACAATAATATTTCTGCCATTTACATTAGGAGAGCCCATTGATTGTTGATGCTAAACGTTTATCAGTTTTTTTTTTAAAGAAAATACAAATATATGCTACTGTCAGGATTTGAACCCTTTTTTTTTAAGCAATTGTTGATTTATAAATATCAACAACCTTTTCACATCTTGAAAGAAAATACAATTTTTAAGCAGTTGCTGATTTATAAATATCAACAACCTGTTTATATTTTGAAAGAAACTACCAATAAATGTTACTCTCAAGAGTCAAACCCTTTTTTTAAAGCAGTTGTTGATTTATAAATATCAACAACCTTTTGAAAGAAAATACAAATAAATGCTACTCACAGGCACGTTACAGCACATTGTAAAATTACAAAGAAGTGGCAAGTTAATCTGAAATTTAAAATAAAATGCTTTGATAATTTCTTTCATATCAATTACAATCAATGAGGCAATTTTATTATGAAACTTACTTACACGGAGTCAAATAGCTCCATGTCGAAGCTTTCCTCAAGTTTCTAGCATTCAGATAAACAAAAACACATGAAAGAATACAACAAAAATCCACCATCATGTTTCTTCAATTTTCTATTCCCCCAACTTTTGCAAGGGGCCATACATCTCAGGATAGCACTAAAGAACAGTATTATGAGGTCATTGACAAAATTGCATCAATGAATAAGATATTCATCTCAAACAATAATCAAGACAAGCGGACTCGTCCTGAAGAATCGTTGAGTAACAGCTCAATCCCTGTCCAAAACCAGAGTAGCAATTCATTCAGAATAAATGAATGTATCAATAATCTTTCATCTCCTCAGCATGTAGAGGAAAAATCATGTCAAGAAACTGCCACAGATTTATTTCCAGGTGGGGAGTTATGAACAGAGACAGTGTCCGCAACTTTGGATGGAGGCCAGTAGCGAAACATGGACCTACCAACAATGTTCTCGATCGGGAGTGGACCCCTGATAGACACACAAAAACAGCAAAGATATTAATCAACATCAAGCATCACAATTAAGTGCATATATACAACTAAATACAAACTTCTAAGATCTGAGAGCATGTTTACATAGAAGTTTTGAGAACAGCATCAACAAATATGCCAAATGTGTCATTCACCTAAAGCCATATACTCTCTATTCTTCAATAGAAACAAAAAGAGAAAAATCAGTAAGAAACGAACAGAAAATTTACCAGTTATGAGAATCAAAACTCTTGTTACGATTGTCCCCCATCACAAACACATGTCCTTCTGGCACAACCTGCAAACGTTAAAAGAACAAAAAACCAACATTAGCCATGTTGCCAAGTAACACAACCAATAAAAAAAGCACCAATACACCAAAATAGTATTACCATTGGAGCCAACTCATACGCGAGAGGTTCTAATACAAATTCCTCTTCTTCAGCAACACCATTCACTAGTAGTTTCCCACCATGAACCTACCCCAAAACATATATAAGATATCAGAGATCAATGCAAATACTTTAATGTGATCAATTACTAATTAATCAACAAATAAATAAATAAATAAATAAATAAATAAATAAACTTACTTCCACAACATCACCAGCCTTAGCCACAACCCTTTTAATAAAAACATCAGATGAACTAAAACCATATTTCTACATAAGAGAAATCAAACAACAAACATCAAAATTCATCAACAAATGCGCCACAAAAGAAACAAAAAAACTGCAATAATTGAACTGATGTAGCAAGTAAAGATACCTTCAAACAAGGAGGTGCTTTGAAAATCACAATATCAGAAACATCTGGCTTTCTAAAGAAGAAAGAAAACTGTTACACAGAAACAACAACCTTAATTAGTTCAAAAGATCAATAAACAAACAAACAAACACATGAAACAAATAATTGAAACAAACCTTTTCTGTTAAAACACGATCACCAACTTCAAGAGTTGGATACATAGATGCAGAAGGAATAGATTTCGGTTCAGCCAAGAACGATTTAAACAGAAAACTAACAGTAACAGCGGTGAACACAGCTTTAGCATCTTCCGAACACACATTCAACAATTTCGAAATCCAACCACTAGTAGTTTCCTTTTGACTCAAACGCGATTTTGTGGCAGAAACAGTAACACACTCCGTTCCACCTTTATCAACCTCCCACGTTGTAGCATCAGCACCAGGAACAGACTCGTTACAAGGAAGCCACTTGGAACCCTGCAAAAAGGGTATAATCGAAGAGGTTTTGAATGGTGCAATACCCATAATACCCATAGCCGCCGAAGTTGACCCGGACACAACACTCGTTGACTTCATCATCGAAATCAAACCTAACACGATCGGATTCGTACAGCCTTCGGAGAGAAGCTCTCCGGCGAGGGTGGAATAGGCAGAATTTTTAGGTCTCCTGAGATCGGAATAGAGACTGCGAAAGCCGCCGGAACGTTCGAGATCGCGTTTCTGGTTGGTTCCAAAGAATTTAGAGAGGATGCAGCATTCTTGGACACAACGAGAATTGGCGACTCGAACGCCGGCGGAGGAAACTAGATTTTGGGCGACATAGCCTGAGAAGGAGAAGGTTACACGGATAGCCATGAAGATGAAGTGAATTAGGTTGAGGAAGAAAAGGTACAGGGTGGTGTTGATGAGAAAGATTTGGGAAGGGTGAAACCCTAGCAAGTGGGATGAGCCATTTTGTGAGAAGAAATCAGTGAAGGGAAACCGGAAAGGTTGAATTGAAGGTTGGTGAGCGAATCAGGAAGGGAAACAACGGCGGTGCGACTCCCCCGGTTACCGGAGGAGAAGGTGGCGCAGAGGTAAAGCTACGTCGTTTTGAGGAGAGAGAAAGAACAGAGAAAGAGCGTAATTGAGAAACAGAGATAGAGTCAAAATTTTCAATCGTATTAGAAATGGTTAGAGAGAGAGAGAGAGAGAGAGAGAGTGGATATTAGGTTTTAAAAATAATAGAGGGCGACTGCCAGCAGCGAGTACGTGGCATGTATCATTCCATATTTACCATATTGCCTCTCTACTCCACCTGAACCTATTTTCTATGTTTTATAAAAATAATTAAGGTTTAAATATAATTTTGATTCTCTATTATGTTTTTTAAATTTTAATTTTTCAGTTGGTAAACTTAGTAGAGAAATTGAAGCTAGTCAAGATGAGTTATAGATAATTCTAATTTAAAGTGTTAAACGTTTTAATTATATTTATTTCGATAGTTATATTATCTCTTTTATTTTTTCGATCTAACAAATTAAAAATCTCTGAAGTTAGATAAATACAATTCTTAATATTTTTTCTTTTGATAAAACTTTTTTGTTCTTTAGATATAAATTGAGGTATAATAGAAGCCAACCGATCAGCTGGAATTTTTGAAATCACTTTGAACTTGAAATTAGCGAGAGCAATGGCGCATAATATATCCAAAGAGTTGGCATCCTTATTACTTTTCGGGATAAGGACTATAAAGCTGACATTATATTTCCTCATTATCCAGCCATGATTATAGAATTGTAAAATCGCATTAGCCACATCATATTCAATCACTTCTCAGTAGTGTTGAAAGAAATAGCATCTGAACCTGTCGGGACCCAGAGAGTTGTCAGCGCTAAGATTAAAAACCGCGTTTATGATTTCCTCAACATAAGGGCTAGCAGTGAGCATAAGATTCATCTGTTCAGTAACCAGATTAGGTATAATATTCTCCATATTGGAAAAAGAGGTACATGTGCCTACAACACCAAACAAATTAGCGAAATAGGAAGTGACATGATTGAAGATGTCAATTTGATCATAAATAACGGTGTCCTCGATCACCAAATGAGATATAATGTTCCTCGCACTCTTGATTTTTACCAAAAAGTGATAATAACAGGTATTTTTATCTTCGTGTAAATTCCAAGCTAATATGAATTTTTCATGCCAGAAAATTTCCTCCACATCCAAAGCCTTTTTCAAATCTGCCTGAGCCTGGTTTTCCTGAAAAGACAGGATCTCATTCAACCCTTCCAACTGAATTTTGTCTTGGATGTTCTTGAGAAAATCATGCTTACTGCAGACATTATGGTGCACATTTTCAAAATGTTCTTTATTCCAAATTCTGAGTTTTCCTTTTAGCAACTGCAACTTCTTGTTTAAAATGTACATCGGACATCAAACGAATCTCGCCTTCCAACAATCAGAGATCAAAGGGAGACAAGAATCGTTAGCCGCCCACATGCGATGAAACTTGAATTGAGAGAAAACATGAGAAGAAGTGAAATTGAAGTCTAAAAAATTGAAAAATGATCTGAGCTAACTCTTGAAAGAGTTGTGACATTCTATCTAGCACAAAGAGAAAGTCAAGCATAATTACAAAAAACATGATCAAGTCTCCGCTCCACTAAAGTTGAACCCTTTATATTATTGCTCCAAGTGAAATAAGTTCTGGTGGTGTCTAAATCAACAAGAAAGTTGAAATCTATATTGAAATCCTTCATATAGCTCCTAAAAGGAGGCACCTTTCCTTTGTGCTCGTGCGAACCAACTATGACAATAAGATGCCAAGGAAGGGAAACAGAGCTGAGTAGCATCGAAAGAGAATCTCAAAGTTGCCTTCTCAAAATATTGCAGTATAAAAACTAAAATCATCTACCTCAATTTGAAAAGTAACCATTTGTTCAATAACTTCCAAAATAACTAGATCTAAAGAATCTTTGTAGAGACACCAAATAATTATTATTTCACCCGTTAACTACCACTATCTTTTCTCTCTATTTTTTAAGAAAAAAACTTAAATACAAATTTTTTAGGTGTGACTTTTACTATTTTTCAATAAAAATATGATAAATGAACTTAAATATAATATAAAGAGTGAAAATAATATATATATATATATATATATATATATATATATATATATATATATATATATATATATATATATATATATATATATATATATATATATATATATATATATATATATATATATATATATATATGTATGTGTGTGTGTGAGTGTATAAAAGAAAATTATATATTTGTTGTATTTTCTTTAAAAAATAGTAAAAATAATATCTAAAAAATTATTATCTAGGTTTTATCTTTTTTTCACACCACTTAATTGTTTCTTTTTTTTTTTTAAGTATAAATGTCAAAATTTTATTTAACTGTGTGGTTAGTTATTATATATACTTCTATAATTTTATATTTATTAATTATTTTTTAAATAAAAATAGGTAAGAGTTTGTTTAGATTGACAGTGAGCATAATTAATTTTAATAGAACTAAGTTTGATAGAATTGATTTTAATAGAATTGAATTTATGTTTGTCTACATTTATATAAAGTGAATTTAACAATTAATTTCAATATGAAAATCATTCAAAATTAATTTTAAAGATAGAAATTACAAATTATAACTTTAAATAAAATTAATTATATTTTTGATAAAACAAACACTTTAAAATCACTATGAATCAATTCTATACTTTTAAAATTAGTTCAGAGTCTCTTAAAAATCAATCAAAACATATTATAAATTATATAATAAAAAATCATTCAAATTCACAATATTTAATATTTTATTATAGTTATCAAGATAGTTATAAACTATCCATCAAAGAAATTTTTATATTAGTAATACTATTTTTTAATATATGAATGAAATCTTTAAAAAGTAAAAACTAAAACAACCTTCGTGGAAGTTATTATTTTTCTTTTAAGACTACATTTTTTTAAGAATATTTATTACTAAAATTGTTAAGTCGCCAAAATGAAGATTAATTTAGTCATCAAATTATTTGATTAAGTTACTTATAAAAAAAAATATCCGTTAGTGAAGATTAAACGTATCCATATCTTTTTCTAATTATTTCTTTTAAGTATATTAATCGATTTTGCACCACAAAGTTTTTATTTTTTTGTTTTGACAAAAGGGTTTTATTATACAGAGAATACTTCTTTTTTGACAGAAATTATTTAGATAAATACAGTACTAACTATTTTTGTTATTCAAAAAATAGTTTAAATTTGCAATTCATCATAACTGCACATGTCATGAACGACGTAAGTGCCTATGTCACTCAACAAGTCAAACAGTTTTATTTTACTATAAATTAAAGTGTACAAATCTCGTAGGAGTCTTAACAATGAAGCTAACTTTCTAACAATAAAAGAAATTAAAAAATTGAAGCTCACAAGTTCGTTCGTGTGAAATAATAATAATAATAATAATTATTATTATTATTATTATTATTATTATTATTAATATTTTTTATAATGTTAATATACACATATAAACTACAATAAGAACATATTACATAATAGTTTAAAAAAATATTAGTAAAATCATTTTTAAGTTTAAATTTTGAATATATTATGAAATAAAAAACAATATTAAAAACATAATCGAATGATTTATATATAGGGTGATTGATTTTGAATGGCGTGAAATTGATATATAATTTAATAGGTATAAGATTTAGTTGATTTTATCAGATATTTGATATGAACACGAGGAGAAGAAGAAAAAATCAAACCAATTTAATTAATTTGGATTGGATCGGGGAATCAATCTAGTTATTGATTGGTTCTTAAATTTCTATATGATTTGGTTTTTAAATTCTTAGAGTATTTTAAATAGGTGAACTATAAGAAATTAAATTGAGTTAATTAAGTTATTTTTTTAGGATTAAATTGTTAAAGAATTTAATTGAAATACATAGATAGATAATGTAAAGAAATTTTATACCATCGATTATTTATAATTGTTTTGATCTAACCTGATCAGAGTTAGACCGTCACAACTGGCTTTGGGCTGAGCTTGAATGAGATAGGGGGAGGTACATGTAAGACACTTCGATGGTAAAGTGAGATGCGGAATGAGCAAGCAAGTATGAGTTTTAGGTGTGAATGAATGAATATCTGACCCTCTCGTGAGAGAGGGTATTTATAGCCCCCAGCGCTGGGCCAAGGTCCCCACTATTGGGCCACGCAGAGGCCCAATAACGGGAACTGCCAAGGTTTACGTGAGTATGGAGTCCAGCAAGTGGACTCCCCCATGGTCAACTGCTCCGCGAGAATAAGGTTGGATCCGAGATTTCCGGAGGACAGTTTGATATGTCTGTTGAGAGGTGGTGAGCCACGTCCCCCAACGGTTGGATGAGGAGTTGCCCCATAATCCCTAACTCGGGCTGTCTTTGGGCCTCTCGCTCGTAGGGCAAATGTAGGCCCAGTCTAGATCAGGAGCCCCCCAAGTTATTGTCCTCGAGTTAGAGGGCGATGACTTGAGTTCAGCTCTCGCTACCGAAGGCTTGGTCGAGGCAGAGGGTCGAAATCCCCGAAGGGAGCAGATCGTTGCCCGCGGGGGGCAGGCTCAAATACGTCGGGGAATATCATAGACGGACGGGGATCGTGACCGGAAGGTTCAACCGCTTGCTCGAGGGGACATATTAGCGGTGAGGGGCCTCTGCGAGGTTCCCTTTGACATGCCCGTCTCCTGGGAGTTATTAGTTTGTCGAACATTTCCTCGTCTTCGAGATGGTTAAATGGATGTGCCTCTTCGCGCACTCTAGTGCCGAGCACTTCCTCGTGTACGTGTTTGCCCCCTACATTTGTGGGTGACTTGTAGGAGTCGGGTGTTTGCTCGCCAGTCCAGAAAGGACATTGTGTTTGATAGTTGAGCCACGTGGCTAGTGCTTTGGGGTGCCACCCCTTAAAGGAAAAAGCAAAAGGGGCCAATAAGGTGATGACCCTTCATGTGGGATCCCTTGGGGCGCGAGTCGCCTATAAAAAGGGGGCCCTTGGGACTCATTTTTCACGTTCCCAAGTTTCCTCTCAATCCTTTCTTTGCTCGCGGCGTGAAGCGGTTCTCTCAACCTCTCAGCTTTTCTTCGCTTGTGACGTGAGGCGACCCTCTCAACTTTTCAGTTTTTTTCCTCAAAGTTCTTCATCCAAGTAAGTCATAACCTCTCAACGCCATGTTTCTTGAGCTTTTCTGGAACGTGAACGCGAAGTGCGTGGATGTAAACGGCGCCCTATTGTTTGACGAGGAGGGGGAGTATCTCTTGGTTAATAGGTTGATCAATACTAAGGCTTTGCTCGAGTTCTCCTCAAATGGGGAAGCCATGAGGCTCTTGGGTAAGGCATAACTGTTTATTTGCTCCTTTTATAAGCGGGGATGTGTCTGCTCTGTTTTTGATTTTTCTAACTCGACTAACGATTCTCTTTGATTACAGGTCGAATGGCGTCTCTTTCCGGGAGTTTGCTGAAGCTGGGGCCTAAAAACGCATCCACTTATGGACCACGCAGCAGAGTTGCCCAGCTTCAGGAGCAGGCCAAGTCTACCGGTCGGGGTAGTGGTTCCCCCTCCTCCTCGAAAAATCCAACTTCTTCTGATTCGGCCCAGATTCCGGTCAACGAGCCCGTGGCCAATAGGAAGCATGCAGATAACACTGCGGGCGTACCGTCCGAGGGTAACAAAACATCCGCGGGGTTTTTCGTGTTGCTTCCGTGATATCTAAACTGCGACCTCTTCCGCGATGGGGACTCCCTCGGCCTGCACGAGGAGGAGAGAGAGGCCATTTTGACTGAAGACAAGGAGCTTCGCTGGCAGCACTTGGCTGATGACGTGGGTGTTGTGATGAGGGTGCTTGAGACGGCCCTTTCGCTCAACGACGAATCTTCGAGCGCTTAAGCCGCTCTCAATGCGGCCTACGCCAAAATCCACAAGCTGAAGGTCAAGAATGAGAAGTTGAAGGGTGACATCCTCAACCATGAGTCAAGATTCGAGGCCCAAGTCCAGCTTCTCAAGGATTTAAACGAGCTGAGGCCTCAGTTGGAGACGGCCACAAGGGAGAACGAGTGTCTGGTCGCTCGTAATTTGGAGCTGGAAGAGATGACTGCGTCTGTCGAGGATGAGACCGAGACAGAGAAGAACATGGCCACCCGGGCGGACTTGATTGCTCGTATCCGCTTGCTCGAGTAGGACGTGATTGATACTCTTGGACACGACTTCAATGTTGTTGTCGAGCAATTGAAGATCTTGAATCCCGGGGTCGAGTTAGTGGTTGAGGGGGCGGGGCCATTCAACCAAGTTGTTGACGGGAAGACCTCTATTCCCTGGAGGACAACGACAGGGAGGATCAACTTTGAATGCTCTCAGTT